AGTACTGCAATTAGAGCAAAAGTGGTTATTAGATGATTCGTTAATGACATTTTTCAGATATTTATTTTATATTATGTACAATGGTGTATTTTTAGAAAACTTAAACACACAATATTCGTTACCTATGGGCTATGATATGATGATTATCAATGTTGCATTTGTTTTTTGTTTTCCGCTCTATACCAATCATTTTGCTATCCCTTTGCGCACCACTAATTATAGGTAGGTATATAGAATAATCCAATTTGCCGCATGATGCGCACCTTATTGCTAACGTTCACCTGTCATTCTTACCATAATCTTAATCCGCGTTTACATGGGTCGATCGCGGTCGAACACTCGAACGACTATCGCTGCACGACAACACGTCGAAACCTAATTGGAAGAGTTTAATGTTTACACGTATACTTGCCGTTTGCTGTACTCTGGGACAAGTCCACGTTAAATTAAATAAAATAAAAATAAAATATCGATTCAGTGTGCTTATAATGTTATGGTGCATAATTTACGTACACAGGTACTTAAGTTTTGATTAATCATACATTATTTTATTGGTATGTATTATGTTACATGTTTAAATGCAGACGTGCATGTATTTTAATATTCTGTCGTTAAATCTCGATCACATTGCTCGATCACTTGCTGTATCGCCAATTCAACAAGAATAATCACTGCTATATATTATAATTTAGTTAGGTAGGCATTTATTTAAAACTCGGTGACTAGACCTTTGATAATTAATCAGTTTTGGTTCCGGTTAGTTCTTTAAAAAAATCAATTCCAGTTTTGACTTAAGTTTTCAAAAAATAAATTTAAATTTCGATATTTTTCGGTAGTTCTTCTCATATCATTCTATATTTTTGCTATCCCTTCTGGATTCTTTACTCCTATAAAGCTTAGGTCTTCATGAACACAGTCACGCGACTGTTGTCTTGGTCGACATAGGGGTCTTTTTTTGGCTAGTTTCTACAATGTTATTTTATTTGATAGTTTTCATTCAGCGCGCCAAGCATGTCCTGCTCATTCGATTCTTTTGTTCTTTATTTCTGCTAGTATGTCCAATTGGTTGTATAGATTATTCAAGTCATCATTTGTTTTATACTCATACTATATCATCAGTTTTTATTGAAGACCATACCTCACACGCGTACAATACAATTGGCCTAATAAATAGTTTATACATTGTTATTTTTGACATTTTTGAAAGGATTTTAGATTTAAAGAACGATTTTAGCATTTTAAAACATCTATTAGTTGCAGTTACTTTGTATTTCATCAAATCCTCTAATTTCCATTGTACTTTAAAGTTTTTACCCTTTCAAATTTAAATTTGTCTTACTATTAATTCTGTTTGGTTGTGGATTCTGTATGACAATATCATGTAGCTCTTACTATATACTCTAAATTCAAGAGCTATACTCGTATTGAATAGCGTAGGGTATAGTTCATCACTTTATCTTAAACCAGTTTCTACGTAGAATTCGTCCGGTCTTTGTTGGTTGTATCTAATTTTACATTTTGAATTTGTAGTGCAGATTCTTATTACTTTTACTATTTTTTCTGGAATTCCAAATTTCATCATCACATTTTACAGAGGTTGTTTATTAATTGAGTCATAAGATTGTTTGTAATCTATGAATTGAAGAAATAACTCTTGATTGAATTTATAACATTTCTCCATTAATTGTTTTGTAGTTTATAATTTGGTCTATTTGGTCTGAAGTGGACTTTCTTTTTGTAAACCTTGTTTGACAATCTTCTTTTTTTTTTTTTGTAAAGGGTATGAGTATGTTTAATAATATATTTGCTTTGCTTATGTGCTTCTCGAATATTTTATTTTCTCTGTTAGTTTTGACTGTTATGTATTAATATACCTAAGAACTTACTTTTTAAAATTAAAATTTCACTATTTAAAGTTTAGACAAATGATTTTTTTTTCTATGCACCTAATTAATTCGTTATTAAAATCAGCAGTTCTTGAGTTATTACGTTTAATTTATATTTAATTTTAATTTTTGAATCATAGTTCACAATAACAGGTTTAATGATAATATAAATGTATATATAAAACATATTATAATTATTTTAAATATGCTTAATAATATTAAATCAAGTATTTATAACTAGGAAATGTTAATAAATAGTGATAAAATATGATAAAAGTTTAATAGGTATAGATTATGGTTATTTATTAAATCATTTTAAAAAAGAAAATAGTAATTTATGGAAGTAAGAGTTAATTTATAGAGTGTTTTAAGTAATTTGTTTGTATTACTACAAGACACTCCTTAAAATATATAAAAACCTACATATTTTATAATGTATTTTTTAGTAGTATAGCTAAATCAATACTTAAATATTTTATTCAACTCATAATTCAAGTATAAGACGGCAATCGTGGATGATTAATGTTGAGCATGTTTGGTGAACCACTATGTATAATATATTCTTATATGTGTAGTATAGTTACATTATTTATCATGTTAATATATTTTTTATTATTTTTTTTTTTTTTTAAATCAGTAGATGATAAATAAAATAGTGTAACTGTTAGTATTCTACTATAAAATTGTCTAATTTTTAGGTACTAAGACCATCGCTACAGTGTCAGTTAGTGAGATCGGGTAGAATTCGCATGATTGATAAATGTAGTGATATTAATACTTAATAGTGTTATTTGTTAACGTATACAATTTAAATATACCTAATTGTATAACAAGAAAATAAGTCAAATTATATCCAGTGTTGAATACAGGTATACTCTACGACTGTGTGTGTGAGGTGGATTCTTCTCGGAATTTAATTCGCCCCTCCTGGCAAAAACAATTATTAAAAAAAATTTAATTATTAAATGTACAATACTCGTTATAATTTTATTGTTATCATCAAAAATTTTACATTGAAAAGCCTAGAACTTATTTTAATTGTACTCATTAAAATATGATTTATTTTTATCAATATTAAAATAACGTATACTATCTATTACATTTTGAACAAGATACATGCATTTATTTTATTTTAATAAATCTTACCTTAGAAGTTAATTGAAGAAGCAATCGATTTGTATGCAATATAACAAAATTATCATATTACATTGATTAAAAATAAAATAAAATGAATCGATAATGTAATACATACTAGGTATACATCTAATTTGTATAAAATAAATATTATTTATGTGATATTTTATATTATAATATGTATCATAACTATGTCATATGTAGGTACTGAATTTATTGTAACAAAATATAATAATAATCATAAACGATTATCATCTATCCACTTATATGATATGTTTATCTCAAGTGAGGTGAGTAGGTAAATTATGTTTCTTGATTTTATTAACGGTTTTTAATATCTGTAATAGGTACTTGAAATATTATTGTTATTATATATATTTACTACAGTTAATTATTATTTCGTTTGATAAATTATAAGAAACACGTGCGTAATACAATGTATGCTTGTGTTTCTGTGTGTCTATACCTATGTGACGTTCCTATAGTTAACCAAAGTAAAACAAAGAAAATATAGTACCGTTAATTTCTTCCTTGTCCCGTAACAACTACGTCGATTACTGTATTCATTGGAAATGATAGTTAAAATTAAGAACGAAAGGTTACGACAATAATATAATATACATAATGTAGTCGTTTGATCGAGGTCACACGATGTTAATTTTATGGGAACGATTGCAAATGATATAATTGGGTAGTAAACGCGAGAAATCGTGTAAGATTATGCAGAGAAACCAATTTGTAGTTTTTAATAGCACATATATATATTGCGTTTATAATGTAGCGGCGCCCTGTAACAATTCTGATCCTTTGTTCTACCCTTAACGGTCGTTCCGCAAAATTTAATTAAAATTGCTTTTATTATTGTTCTGAAAATGATTCATAAGTTTAAGGGAAAATCAATATCTTCAGATGTTTGAGTTGTATGTATTGGGGTTCAAAAAGGATAGCCATGGGGAACAGATAACTAGCATAACCCTCTTTCCTCTTTTTAGTGTAATTTTCTAATTAGAAATTTATTGAATAACAATAATTTAGAATATAACAAAAAATAATAGTATTAACAGTTACAAAATTTCCATTACGTCTAAAATTAAAATCATTTGCAGTTTACACTTTGCTTTACTTAAATTAACTTACAGATATTGCAGCTTCAGTTTATTATTTTAAAGTATCAAATTCCATTAATAATTTTAACTTTGAATAAGTAATTTACAATGATGTATTATTAATTTGTTTTAAATTACACTTTGACTGAAAATAAACATTATATATTTATATATTAGATAAAAACTAAAATTCTATTACCATAAAATAATTGTATCAGGTTTTTCTACAAAAGTTAATTTTTATACAGTAATATTACTCAAAAATACTTTGAGATAAATATTTTAAACATTTTTTTTTTTAATTTTATGATATTAAAAGATAGTAATTATTAAAATTTGAGATTTAAAAAATAAAGATTTTCATTTTCCATTGCGCTCATAATACAGGTACCTATAATATGTTTCATTTAGGCTTCTTTTATTTTTTTTTTATAAAAATAAAGGTAAATATCTCAAATTTCAGTATTGTTCGTTTAAGCTTAAAAATATCTAATTAATTAGATTTAAAACATATTGGACTAAATAAAATTTTCAAATTCTCAGTCTCTAAATTTTTTTAATTTTATTTATTATCAAAATTATTTTTTTTTCATTTATTTATTTATTTTTTTTTTTGTTTAAATAAAATAAAAATTGTATGATGTATGTATTTGCGTTAGTTCTATGAGTAGTTCTAAAATCGTATTGATTTTCTTCCATTCCCTCCTATACTAAAAGAATCCAGTTCACGCCTCAAATCATATAATATCTATTGTTATCTATATTAATTTATTAACGCACACTTCGAATCCCGTGAATTGTGATACTTGTTATGTTTATCATTAAATATTATAAATTAATAATTATCATTGTTTTTTTTTTGTTTTTTGACCAGGAAATGTTAGGTACGGTCTTAGCGGCTTTGGTCTTCTCATCATTTCATACGCTTTGTTTTTCTTCAACCCAGTGGAAATCATCAAATCAGCGGTGAGTACCTATTTCTCTTTTTAATTTTCACAAAAAATAATACAAAATGTATGTACATTTTTTTCGTTTGCTAATTTTTACTACAGCTAAATACTGTGTTGTTTATATATCTTCAATAATTATGATGTGTTAAAAAAAAAAAAAAAAAAAAATACATAAAAGTTGTTTTTAAATACTTTTGCGAGAAAGACCGTAAATAAATAACAACTAACACTCTAATAATAAAGTTTTATTAATAAGGTTTATACTTATAAATCATTAACTAGATTTATTTTATTTGAAATACATAAATTGGACCGTGAAGTCGAACAAATGGAACATATAAGCACCTAATAAATTATAGTCGATTTGTATTTTTTTATTATAATAGTATATAGTAACCTTATACATTATAATAATCAAATTATATTCCAATATGATATACTATTAAATACATTATTTTTTAATTTATATGTAGTATAATATTGAATAACGTTTAAAATTATTATTATTTTCGGTTTGGTGATAGATTGGCCCCATCATGACAGGTTGATATATTGTCTAATATATAGCTATGAAATAAATTATATACTCAAAACAAGTACTAAATATAATGTTACAGGTACCTATTATTAAACGCGCGAAACCTGAATTCGCGAATATACGTTTGTCCCTGCCCACGTACTATTTATAAAATATATTTAATTAAGTAATCACTTTACTATTATGCACACTACGACCTTTTTTAATTGAGCTGCAGGATATATAAACATTAAAACAGGGTTAAAAGACAATTCCGCATTATCATATACCCAATATATTTAGCTCAAGGAGCAATTATTTATACTGTATTTATATTATATGGTTTTATACAATGTAACATATTATAAATAGATATATAACTACTTTATTCTTAATATATATATTAGGTACGCTTTATGTTAAAATATGTTTTTTACTCTTTATGCTAATTGGCGATAGCAGACACATGAACGGTATTTTTTTCTAGATTTATTACCAATATTGTTCTTGAAATATTGTTATTCATCATTAATTACACCACCGATCGTTCCCAATCGCCTTGATTTTGAAGTTTTAGTGATACTTAAGGTTCGTTTATGTCTTTCACTCGGACGTTCACCATTAAACAATCAATTAATAAATCGTTTTCACTATAAAATAATTACCATTATATGCATTTTTATTTGAAAATATTTAATTCATAATTGCGTAATATTTTATCACATACTACGTTTGTTGCATCATTTTATAGACTTGATTTTTGCGATATGTGGGTACTTAATAAAATTTTCATATATTTAGAAATAAATTTCCGTATTTGATTAATTCACAATAAATATGAGTGTATTAAACATTATTATTATTAATATATTGTACAATATAAAAAATGATTTATAACGTGAATAATAATCATATTACCCACCGCTATATATCACAACATCAACAGTTGATCTGTCGTCATCACAAGGTTTCGATTTTTCACCGATGATATATTATAATTTTATATACAGCTGTAGACTTGTGTTGGACAACTTACTGTTGTAGATGAACGAGATATTAATAATAATTGATACGTTATATGTTTGAGACAGCCGATTATACAACCGATATCGAATAAATACACGTTAGATGATTACCTTATAGTGGTTTAACTAATATAATATCAAACATGTCTATGTTATATTCGAATAATAATTATAATTTATATAATACAATAATGCATTATATATATGTATAGTGTATACGGATCAGATTTGAATAATATTATGATGATTAATGAGTGTATGACGTATAAAAAATATAATATATTATTTTAAGCTTGGTTTACAATAATGCTACGGGTGGGCGATATAAAATATTATATCGAAACAGTTTATGGATTAATTATTTTTATGATATATATATACATTTAATATACATTACGCTAATTCAGGTTTAATATTTTGTATCGATAACAATTGTTTCGTTTGTGATGGCACAGTTATACGAAATTAGAAATTATATAATAGTTTTTGATCGAGAACGTTCACAAATCATAATTGTGATAAATATATTTGGTATAGTTTAGACATTTTTCTATAACATTTTGTGATTTATTTATTATTATTATTATTATTATTTTTTTTTTTTTTTGTGAAATTTCTTTGTGAAATTTTGAATATTAAAACTTGAATTGAATTGTCAAATAAAAGATAGCATTCATTTTTTTTTTTTTTTTTTTTATTGTTTGAGAATAATAATGATTTATTTCTACTTTATCAGTATATTTTAATTTAAAATTGTCTAGGCAAATATTTTTATAAAATTTGTATTATATATAAAATATTAAATTACATATTTAATGGTTTGAAAATTTTAGTTATTTAATGTTTAGATCAGAGAATCGTACACATAGGATTTTAAATTATAATTTGATAATAGGGTACCTCTTACTACATAAATGTACTAGTTGATTAAAAAATATTATTTTCACTCTCTTTTACCCATTAAAAATGTATTAATTCAAATAACAATTTTTGAAATATTTGAAAATTTAAATATTTTTTAAGGATAGGTATAAAATAAAATACTTATATATTTTTTTTTTTATTCCATTGAAGGATGCGATTACATGAGTTATTGTTTTTCAAGTACTAAAAATAATGTAGGTACTATGATGGCTATACATAAACTATGAAACAAAATATATTATATTTTTTCAAAGCATTTTTATACTTGGTATATTTTTAAAAACTGTAAAATTGTAATAAACTAGCTCTATAACCTGACTTCGCCCTAGATGAAAAATAATAAACAAACATATAAACGGCATTATATCGGTGCATCTTGGTTTTGGTATATATAAGTTCACGGATAATTCAGTATTGGTTTATTTTGTTCTGTGAACTAATTTGATTGAAATGGTTAATTTGCTAGCGGTGTGTTGGAAATACCATTGGTATATTTTACATTCTAAATTTTCCAGGCGTCTCTAAGAATAATCTATAAATTTTCATCGAAATCGGTAGAGTAATTTTTGTGTTTATTAGCTACAAACATAAGGTAATTGTGACCTTTTATTAGGTATTATCCTTTACCTGTTTTACCTAACCTTTTATTTTATTATTCACACATTTGAATAACAAACAATAATTTAAATATTTATTAATTTTATTTGAAAATATTCTATATTAACGAGATTCATGAGCAAGCCACCTTATAACAACTTATAGAGATTAAAAATAAGCTAAATACATCATCCTAGTCTCGAAAAATCTATTGATTTAATTTTAAATTAAATTTGACTTTAAGTTTCTTAGATTGCCCTAATACAGACATATAAATCCTTAAGTATTATAATATTAGATATACAATTATTATGTATTAAAATAAATAAATATAACTTTCAAATTATAATAGCATTCCATTAAATTTTGAATTTTCTAAACCTTATTACAAAGTAACCGAGAACTTGTTCAAATTTCAATCTATTTGTACATTAAAGTTTTGTTAAAAACCATTTCAACGGTTTACAATGATAAAAGTTTCTAATTTGAAAAAAAAAATTACTCTGTATTATAGTCACAAAAAATTTCTTGAATAGTATAAAAATATAATAATTTTAAAATATTATGGTAAGTACTTATAAAATAAAAAATTCTAAAAATCGGAATAAGAAAACACATCTATTATTTTTAATGGGAAAAAATTAGGGTAAGCAGGCTCGGTTGTTAATAACCATGTAAATAGCTCTGATAATTCAAAAATTAAATCTACACTTAATATAATATGCCTATATTATTTTAGTATCATGTAGGATTGTAGGTGTTTGATGATGTATATCGTAATTCAAATGTTATGCACGAATGACCCATTTATTAATACTATTATATTAACAACTATGTTGTAGACAGTGGCCTGCGAGATATAATTATTATTCATTTATATAAAAATATAACGATTGTATTATGTTTTTAATTTTCAGAAATTGAAATTTGTCGAAGGATCTTACGCGTTTCAGCTGTGGCAAAAACCTCCGGTTAAAGTTTACGTCAACGTGTACATATTTAACGTGACTAACGCGGATAGATTTTTGGCGGGCGAAGATGAAAAATTGGATGTCAAAGAAATCGGCCCGTATGTTTATTGGTAAGTATGAAGACTGCTCTATCATTATGGTTATCCTATTAATCTAACTTGTTTGTACATCAATATAATGAATACATTTTAATGAAAAATAAGTGCACACCATAAATTATATATTTATTGAAATCTTATTGATATTATAATGAATTGGTTTTATATATGTTACGGTAAATGATGTTATATCGGAAATTAACGTTATTCACCGGTTATTAACGTTATTTACCTATGAATGTGGGAATTATCGTTATTTTCTAGTGAATAATGTTAATAACCGTATGATTTGGGAAATTTTGATCTGATTATAAAATAAAAGAGGTTATTGCGGAAGATTTAAAAAAATAACCAAAGAACCAATCACCAAAGAAGACCAAATCGGAAATTAAATCATAGAAAACACAGAAAAAAATTCGGAACTTGATACTTAAATATTTTTTAATTATTTAACGATAAATTTCCGAATTTTAAGTATAACAAAAATAAAACTAAAATATAAATATTTGAAATATTTTTTGATGATTGTCAAGAAAATATATATTTGTATTGCGTGTAAAAATTCATAAAAAAATTTAGAAAAACAAGGAGAGGAAATAATGAAACTTTCTAAAGAAAAGTTTCCTTAGCTTGAAATAGGCTTAACTGTATGTGTATTTATACTAAACTTTGATAGAGCTCGTGATGCTATGCAAAATATACTATCAGTTGTCACTCAAGTTGAACATGATTTATACAAACTCTGTAAGTTAATTCTTAATGAAAAAATATACTATTAAAATTAAAATTTGTTTTATTATTTTATAAGTACGGAATATAGTTTTCTTAAATACTATTTCACATGCCAAAAATAGCTGTTTGCAAATAAAATCTATTAGACATAGACAATGTGATAAAATTAGCAGATGGTAGACAGTTGATATTGAGCTAGTAATAATTCGGTTGCGAGCTCTTAATGGTACCAGCGTTGTCATTGCAAGAGTAGTTGTAATAATAATAAGCATTGTGCCTACCTTGGGGCTGAAAAATTATATTATATTAAATGTTATGGGAGTAAAACTTGTAAAAATAAATAAAAAATAATAATGCATTTTTTCTATTTTTAAAAATACCTGGGTATCTACATCATTTTTCAAATTGTAGTATTTGAGATTCATGCGCTTATCTGATATATAACATCAATTACCTGTGTATTTGGTCATTAACGTGATTATCCGGTTTATAACGATAATTACTTGTATATTTGGTAAATAACGTTAATAACCGGTGAATAACGTTAGTTTCCATTTAACATAATTTACCGTAACATATATATGTATTACATTGCTTAATCAATTCGTATTTGTTCTAAAGATTTAACCGAAAAACAGGCGTAAATGTTAACCGTTTTTATTTTTTAATATAATACATGAAGTAATATTAAATAAACTGGACATCAATTTGAAATACCCGATACTGTAAAAGTATCAAAGGGTCTTTTTTAATCTTAACACTCCTTAATTGTTGAACGTCATTTTATTGCAATATTTGGTAAACTTACTATTAAATTTTAAAAATATAAATAAGAATTCTCAATTTAGTAAAAAGTATACAGTTATCAAATTTTAAAAATAATCGTCATTTTTCGAAAATTATATTATTATGTCTAAAAATGACTTGTTCATATATTTAAGGTAATTAGTTTTATAAACTGTTTTTGATATATCACACAATAATTTTCTGTAGTTTTTTACTTTGTGTTTAGGAAATATAATTGTTTTACAAGGCGTGATGTCTAAAATAAATAGAAAAATTGATATTAAAAATGTGAAAAAAAAAAAACAACAAATATTTATTTAAAATACCTTAATTTCGCTCAAAATTGATTGATGCGTGATTGTTATTGTTGATAATAAGATTTAGATTTTCAAGAAATAACAGTATTATCACATTTATTTATGTGCCTATTTATTTGTCTAAGTAAGTAGATGCTTATAGATACTTCTATCTGTACATATTGTACTTTAAGTGATTTTTTTAATGGTTAAAAATTTTGTAATGTTATAATCTATTTTTTATTTATTATTTAATGGATTCTGGAAATGCTTTTTTTTTTTGATATTGTAGCTTTTCAAAGTTTAGTAATCCATATATAATTATAATGGAAATAAAATTGAAATAAATTCTTATTTACGTAGGTATATAAATCAGAAAAATTAATAATACTTTTTGTCTTTAATTTAATTTACGATTTATGTGTTTATAATGTATTATCTACGATTTTGATTAATTTACAATCTACTCGTAAGAAACATAATAATAATTAATAACAATTTTGATCAACGATAAATCCTATAAAAATAACTATTTTTAGTAAATTGTTTATAAATAGTTAAGAGACTGTATTAAAAATATATTTTGAAGGATTTGGTTTTTAAAAACAGTTTGGTTTTAATTTGTATTATTGTACAACGTTAGTCTTATACATTGAGAAGCAATTAATATATTAATCAAAACAAGATTTGTCGAGGAAGTAACTTTTTATTTTTATCTAGGTATATATTGCATTTGATATGATGATATTCAATTTTAGACGGAAATAAATAATAATATTATATACGTACATACAAATTTTCTTGTTTATCCGGATAAACTTGTCAGAATGCTGTTCATACTGCTTGCTTTGCTTTACCGTATTGTGATGTAATAAAACTAAAATACGCGATAGGCAACGGCCCTATTGTATATAATGTACGCGCATCATATGAATAATTCGCATTTTATTATTATAATTTATTTATATCCCAAAACAGAGGGTCTGAGTACAGGTACCACCGCTCGTATCTATATCTACGCTTATAATATTATATTATATAAGGTTATTATTTTTATTTTTTCTACACCACATCGCACTCGTGTGAGCCATTTTAATATTTCACTTTCATGCTAGCGCACTCCCTTGTAGCAGCTTTGATAATAAAACTTCCTTACGTCTACGTATAATAAGGATGAAGTGAAGTCTATTCAGAGAGATTCACTTAATCTCTGAATGTTAAACATTCTTTGACAGTTGGCCTATGTGAAAATCACGTTCTCTAAAAAAAACTGTTCTTTGGATTAGTCCGGCGTTCAAAGTTTAGAACAGACTAGATATAAAAATATATACAAAACAAAATAATATAAACAACACATCGTCGTTTGCCCACCAACTCAGTTTGTGTTATTAAATCCTAGAGCGTGTGTTATTGCTATATTTTATGAATATATTTTCCAAATCGTTTTCTAGACAAATACGCATTCTTTTTTTTTTCTTTAAAAATTATACCGTTAACTCTTTACCAATAACAATTTTATAATTTATTGTATACGGAAGTCAACTATGGATTTTTACTTCCATAATATTATGGTTTTGTGTATTATTATTGGCCCGTTACCAAAATCCAAGATTCTTAGTATGTCATGCAATTTGATAAATTATATAAATTATAACGATTAATACAGCTCTAATCCGGTTTAAATCAGCTGGATACGCTTGTCCGCGGATGCAATCGTAAACATCATCAGCTAATATATTTTAAATTCAACAATCGTTGTAGGTTAAATAATTATTATATTATTATTAAAACAAACACTACAAGTTTACTAATTGAGTACCGCACGGTACGAGTAATAAAATTTTAATTTCAGGTAATTACTTTCGATGTCTAATTAACGATATTCAATATTCGTTCAACTTGTCCGTTGGAAGGTAAACCGGCGGCAAGTTCATAAAGCGTATCTAATGTGACTCGATTTCATTTGTTATGTTTTAAATGGTTAACAATTTATTATTATTTGTTGTACACGTGCTTGCCATTTAAAATTTAAATATGTATCTCAACGAATAAAGCGGTTACAAGGTGGATATAACCTATAAGAAAACCAGGTACTTACTGCGTATCTTCTATCTGACATTAAAATGTGTACTTAGACTGATTTCTAAAAAAACATTTATCAATTTATTATTTCTAGAGATTTAATTTATGTTCACTAAAAAATTTTATATATTACGTTTGTGAAAATCCCGTAGCATAATATTGAATTCAGACTGTAATAAACACAACCATTTCATAAAATCTAATTATAAACCACCTTTATATTATAACTAAGACAAGCTTACAAACTTTTTTCTTTTATAATTTTAATTTTCAAAGTATAAACTTGCAGACAATATAATATTATGTATTGTGTTCAGGTTAGTTAGGTTTAATTTTTATGTTTAAAACTAACAACTAACGTGATTAAAGATTTAGAGGTTAGATAATGAGGTTAGGTTAGACAATAATGATTTTTATTGTACATACTATTTATCGTTATATTGTTTTGCGTGAAGTCCAATTTTATTTTCTATCAAAGTTTGACATATGATATTTATTAATATCTAAAGGTTAATTATAAGGTTGAGTTGCAGTACGTAAAAATATGCTAAAATCATGTAAAAATATAATAAATATGAGTATACCTAATATGAATTAAAAATTATAAAATAATCTCCTTAAACTATTTATTGCAGAGTTACGTACAAATATGCAAAAAAAATTCATATTTTTATTTATAACATTATAGAATGTAATTGTGTTGACTTAAAATGGCTACATAAGAACTAGAAAAAATGTATAATGTATACAAATAATTTGAGCCCTTATTATTGTTAAAATATTATAAGGTCTTTAAAAAAATTTCAAATCGATCGGATAAAGTCGAAGGGCCAACTTTATGGGTATCTATTTATTGCAGTAAATTAGCGACAAGGAGAGAAATATTTTTAGTTTTTCATAAAACATATTTGATTTTATTCCCCTTCTCTTAAGCCTTCCCGATTACTTTTGTCGAGCAAAATAACACAACAACACAAATGCTATAAATTATAATTATCCAAAAAATATTAAGTAATAAAATACATTAGCACTTAATATTTTTGAAAAATATTTTAAGTTTTAGTGTAGGTAGGCATAATATATTACACATTATTATTACCATGTTAAATATGTTTTTCTACAAATCCGTTAGTTCTACAAATATATTATTTTGATGATTGGCCATATGTATATAAACTAGTTATATGCAGTCATTGTAATATACATAAAATAATAATTTGATGATGTCTATGTAGTGATTTGATACACACGCATCGTAGTCATTATATACAAAACTCATTCTGTTCATTTTTCGTTTAATGTCAAACTATTGAAACTAAGAAACTAAGTATAAATTATAAAATAATATAGGTAGTTTATCATGAAAATAGTAAAATATTTTTATAATTATGTAATATTATGGTGCTGAATACGTAGAGTTATTTTAAATATTTAAATTATCTATGGACTTTACGATATTATGTCTGCAGTTATCGGTTTGTTGTTAAATACAATATTTATTATATTATAATATCCTTGTTAAAAAATTTAAATTAAAACCAGTTTTATAATACATCAAAATGATAATAATATCGTCTCAGCCCTTTACTGATTTATGAAAATACATTATCGTCTTTCACATTTCAGTGTTATAATAATTCGTTCGTGATTTGTCTTACAGGGAGGAGTTGGAAAACACGAACACTACGTTTCACAACAATGACACTGTAACGTATATTCCCAGGAGAAAACTACATTTCGAACTTAAATCGTCTATCGGAGATCCCGAGAAGGATCGCATCTTCGTTCCTAACATCCCCTTATTGGTATTTGACATGTTATTATCTCTTTTAACAGGAACTATGTTTTATATACTTTGATGATCGATCGAATACGATCACCCCCAACGTACTAGCTGAACCGCCCAATACAATATATAGATTGCTTTAATGATACTTTTGTCGTTTATAAGTCAGTCTATAAAAAAATATGTGATGTTTATTTATTTATATATATATATATATATATTGCTTAATTGTGCGATTAATACATAACTTCTTGGGCTTGATTATTAGGTATAGTATGGTTCAATGTTATATCTGGTTATTGTTTTTTGAACTTTTTAATTTAAATTATCTATTATGATTACTATAATTGTATTTACATAAAACCTACAAAACTCATATCGCTAAATACGTTAAACAAATAAGTTGAATTTTTTACCTAAATTAATAATCAATAGTATTACAATCATTGATTCAAATGTTTTATAAATTTCGTATAATTATCTATATAACCGTAGTAATAATTGAGGTTTATATTTGTATGTATTTGTTTTTTACGGTTTAATATTCACTAAAATGATAAAATCTCTTTAATTAATTTTATTTTCCTTTTAAGTGGGTAATTGTTTTTGAAAATTAACCATCAACTAGGTATATATTTAGAATTTAATTTTAACATTAATATATTGCATAATATATTCAGTGAAGCATACGCTGAAGTTCATAATGATTCAATATGTTTTTCACTACTGATAAAATATTAGTGATAGAAGAAGTAGATGGATGTAAAAGAGTTTGTATAGTATTGTTATTTATTATATATACATCTACTTATCGTCGAATGTTTACATTATTTTCATTGAGGTAAAATATATAATAATACGCGTGTTTTTTACAGTACACCGTATTTAAATTTACTAATTTAAAGTGGTGCACCTACTAGACGTATGTAGATTCTATATTATTCTACGCTATAAATTAATAAATCTTTTACAGAATCTTCTCCGCCCTCCCATCTACTGTTAGCCATAAAGTGTGCCACAGCGTTTATTATATATAATTTGTATTTGAAGCATTTATATTATTTTTTTAAAAAACTTTTTTATTTAATTCATATTTTGTTTATTTCCTTCAAAGTTTTGTATAATTTATATAAAAAAAAAAAAAAAAACACTTCATTATTACTGCATGAAAATACACAGTAATATCAACGAGTTTTTAATTATATATTATTGTATAGGTACGATATGGTATAAAAATATTAAATGTGTGTAATTTGAACTAGATGTATTATTCTAGAATAAAAATAACAAGTTATTTTAAAATTTTTGTTTACAAGCCTATAATAAAAAAAATTATTATTTAAGTGTATTTGATGGATTCTAAAAAACTTTCAAGTTTTTATCAAGTATAATATTTTACTTGATTCTTAAAACTAATTAGAAATACATCATTTCGATGATAATTAATATGTGTTGACATTAAAATTAAAAAACCGAAAAACACTAGATAGTTATAACTATACGAACCTTTAATCTATCAGATATTAATATAAATATATAGATGTTGTTTTTATCAAGCGATTAATAGACAATTATGTTTATCGGAAAAAAGGAACTATTGTTTTTGTATTTTTTTGTTCATACAATGTATATAGTAGGACACATTTTCATGTAGCAACGACATCGTAGTATTATTTATGCTTACAATCAAATAATAGGTTTAAGTCCATTAAATATTATCATATTTTTATTACGTTTTCTGCAGGTTACAATTTCTTTACTTATTTTAATTCAATACCAACGATTAATTAATAAAATTATGTAACTTACGGTTAAAAACTCTGTGATTACTTCGAGTAAAATAATTGTTGATTTATTTATACTTTATATCTCAAATAATGTTTTTAAATATCAGGTCTCAGATGAAATGTTAATTTTAGGTAGTAGAAACGAAATCCAAGCTTTTTTTTTTTTTATTATTTTGTGGAAACGATGCGTAACCACCGTTTGTCGTGGGTTCCTGCTGTGTCTACTACCGTCCGACAAATAATCATTTGCATAATATACTATAATACGAGTGGTTTCAGGGTTATACAAAAATCAAACCTCAATATCGAATAGCGAGAGGACTTGATAATAGGCTATAAAAATTATGAGTAGATGAATGACATATAATAAGAAGAAAAAAAAGTATACTGTTTCAGGTGATACTTTATATGTAAACATATAATATAATTTATATATATATTATATCTTTAAATATATTTTAACTACAATATAATATGATACTATTATGAAAGTTATTTTCTTGTGAATTCTAAGTCGCAAGATATCGATTATATTAGCCGCACGATTCGTCAACCGTGTGCACGTGTTTTGTTCTTATGTAGTTAATTCGTTGAAATAGTAATAATAAAATTTGTAATCAAAATTAAATTTGTACACGACCATAATAAATTATACTTCTACTATTGTACATTTATGTTTCAATATAGGGATTCAGTTCGATGCTCCGGAGTTCACCAATGTTCATAAATTTAATGTTCAATTCGTTGGTCGAATACCAAGATTCACAGCCGATACTTAATCTATCTGTAAATGATTTCTTATGGGGATACGACGACACGTTAGTTAAGATGGCCAGCAGTGTGCTACCCACGTGGATCAATTTTTCAAAATTTGGGCTACTCGATCGGGTAAATATTATTGGTTTTAATAGGTACTTATATATTTATTATAATATAATACTAAGCTTAAAAACTTTATCATGTGTCCTGGTCGCTCTGAATAATAAATAGTTATTTTCGAGTAAACCAGTGTTTTTTTTATTTCTTAAGCCGTCGTGTAAAAAAATTGTATAATTTATATTTAAAGGACATATTATATTGTCTTATGTTTTCGCCTACATATTAAGTATGTTACGTATAGTTATAGTAAAACATAGCTATATAAGAACTGTTAAACGTAAATTAGTAATATTATACGCAATTCCAAGATGGAAACAATGCCGGTGAGATGCCTTTTTAATAGTTTTAAATGTAAAATAAATTTAAAACTTTTAAACTTAGGATTTGTTTTTAATGAGTTGGTAGTCCGCAAATGGAAAAATAAGGAACTCTCTTAATATCTTGACAGTGGTTAAGTAAAAATTAAAATTATAAAAATATTCCGATAGCATCCTCTTATAAGTACCCAAGTAATACTTTTGACTTTAAAATGAAGATCTGAGTTTAAAAATCACTGTTTTCAATTATTATGAATTAAAATAACTTAAAATCCTATTGTTATTTTAATCTCATGATTAAATCTATTTATAACTTTGAAAATTTATTTTCGATAGACATGGCGAGTTCTCTCATAAAATATGAATTTATTTATAATATTAATATGAAAAAGAAAAATTAAAATTTTAAATAATTATCAATATTTAATTATTTTAAAGTATATAAATTGTTATAATTTTGTAGAAATAGTTAACAGTGATCATGAGCTATTTTAATAGCCTTGATCAGATCATAAAAACGTATTTTTTTATCTGATATTGAATTTTGCATATATTATAATATATACATTTATTTTCGAATATATGTATATAATAAATAAATTACATTAAGTAGGTAGTAATAATAAATTAAAATCACTGTTGATAATTATTATTGTATTGTTTTTACAACGTGTGTTTTTATTTTTATTTTTATCATTTAAACATCAGTTAGTTGTTTAAAACAAAAAAAAAATCTTAAAATGTTATACCCGTTTAAAGCCAATTATATGATAAATCAGTTAAGTATAATTGTACATGATGAATTTTGATTTTAATTTTAAAGAATAATAAACAAATTTTTTTATGCAATACAAGTTTCAATTACACCTGTATAAAGGTCATTTATCAATAATTCAAAAATACTAAATTATATCGTCAACGTTATTTTAATTTTTAGGTATACATGAAAACTCACCTGAGTCAATAAAACAAAACTTTTAAATTGTATTCATTCATATAAAGGCTATTTTTAGCGATAGTGCTAAAACTATAAAAACCCATAATGATTTATCGTCGTTTTATTATTGTTTTACTCCCGAGCGAATGCTTCGAGTTGTTTTTTTTTCATTCACAGTACAGAATATATTTTTTAAAAGTTGTAAAATTTTCATTTTATTTTTTTCTCTTCTTCTAAACTCTGAATTCTACGCGTACGGTTTTGATTTCAACATATTATTATAAAGACCGCGTCCCGCCTGAGAGCCTACTCATCGTCTCCGTGCGCACTTGAATGTGACCTGCAAATTCATACGTAGGTACATGTATAACCATCGTATATGCCAGTCGCATAATTTTCACATATTCGCGCGTGTTCGTATACATACGATGAGTGTTGTAGTATGATGCCTTATGCCTTATGCATACAGAGTGTAACAGAAATATTAGACACACGTAAAATGTGATTGACCATAAAACAATTTATAATAATATTATGTATAGTGTATAATACACTGTGTTCTAATTAACGTTCACGTTTTTCATTTAATAATAAAATTGTTAGGTGACGATCATAATGGATAAATTGAAATATGAATATTGATCGGAATAAAACGTATTATATTAAGGTCGTCATCAATCAAATGCATCAGTTATTTCTATTGCACGCTATATACAGGTAATAATATGATGGTGTCGACTCTATAACAGCACGTTTATCCGCCTTTTTGCAGTGTATGTATAAAACTACGAAAATATCATATACAGCGTCCTGAAACGGATGAAAAACGTATTAAGATAAACATCATAAAAATTTGGTCTACCTATAATAATATCACTCGGGGGCTGCGTAAAATTTATGTTAATCTTTGCCAAGGTAATTTTTTTAGATAAAAAAATTGCTGTCGCGTTATGATATTATAATAATATTATGTTCAATACCAAAACCTCGTGTAAATAATAACTGACATGACCTATCGTATATATTATTGTTAAATATTAATTACATGCGTATTTGTTTAAAGTAAATAATTGTAGATAATAAGCTAATAATATATTACATAGGTCAAGTTTTAATATTTATTAATTATTATTAGGCGTACACAACAGCAACAGTGTAACACCGAAAATTAAAGTTTTTTTTTTTTAAATAAAATCAATTAATAAAATAACGTAGGTAGGTAAAATGTGTAAAGATATTTTCAATTTTAAGTTTGAAGTTAAAGAATTATGTCTAAAATTCTAATATGAAAATTAAATTAAAAAAATGCATTCTTAAATTTATATTAACTTATAAAATTTAATGTAACTATGCGGTTAAAACATTGTATAATATTGTGTATAGGTACTCTTATTTTGGTTTTCAATAATTGTAAAATATAAATAGATTATTAGATCATTTTACGCATTTTAAGAGTATTTAATAAAAAATACTATATTATCAAATTATTTAAAACACTAGGTAATACTAAAAAAGAAGTTGAATAAAATATAAATTAAATAAAGTTATTTTTGATTTGTTTTGATTTAGGAAAATAGAAAACTATTCTTCACTAATTTATTGGTTTTTTTATATTACTTCAAAGTTTAGACGAGCTTTAAAAATAAATGTTTTTGTAATATGTACCTACATCCTACAGCTTATATTATGTATCTAACTACAGTGACTACTTATTAGTATTATTGTTTGTTTATTAAAATATTATTTAAATGTATGTCAACGTCAATAATGCCAAGACATCATATACCATTTGAGTATAAATAACATGTTTGATTTATTAGGGACCTATGCATATTGATTAATTTATATTGAAAATATTATATTTTATTAGATGTTGGATGAAGGGACCAATGTTATCACAATGACAGTGCCATCGGAACGACAAACAAAACGTCCCTACACAATAGATAACTTTAATGGATCGCCGATTTTACACCAATGGGCCAATACTGATGCACCTAATGAGATGTAAGCATATTACTATACGTGGATTGTCGAAACATTAATATTGGTTTCTAAACCACCAACATTTAACTATAAACAAAAATTTCTATAAAGTATATGATTATAGTTTATCTATAAAGTATTTGATTATCAATAATTGTGACGCATATGTTGTAAAAATTAAAATGTTCATAAAATACAAACAGAAATGTATGTGCTATATAGGTACCTAGTGAATGCATTTTTTTTAATGAATTTTAAATTAGATCCATTAAAAATTCTTTGTTTTATAATAATTGGAGATGATATTAATTTGGTTATTTAAATATGATCATAGCAGAGAGAGGTAGGTTATTACTTATTTACTAGTTTGGTAAGTTAATTTTTAGTTTTTTGATTCTTAAGATTTCATTTATTTACTAATTTATTTTAGAGTTAATTTGGGATGTATATTAATAATTGATTCCTAGTACAAATATTGTTGATTCCCGAACTTCAATTTATAGCGTTACCCAGGAGGGCGCCACAAAGAGATTGGTCGACGAGCCTTCTGCCATTTTTTTTTTGTTTTGGTTACTAAATTTGATTATTTGTTATATTTTAATTCATTCAGCTGTCACAACTGTTTAAAAGTAAGTTAAAATTTGTTGGTTTAGTTATGATGTCAATTATCGTCATAGTTGATTATTTTCATAATAAATTCGAGAATTATTAAAGAGAAGGTAAATATTTGAAACACAATTTGTATCTGTGTATGAGATTTTGGTTATTTTTGTACATTATTTCCCTCGTAAATATTTTTATTTTTCCTTATGAAAGTAGACATACTAATATACAACAAAAAAAGAAATCAAGTAATACACACCTTTATTTTCTTGAAATCAAATCACCAGTATCGATTTAAGTGAACTGTTACCTAAGAAAATCAACTCATACATTGCTCAGTGGATGGATTTTGATTAATTTACTTTAACCTTCAGCATAAATGGAAAAAACCTTTATGTCTAGAAATGAAAATATTTTTGGAAATCTTAACCACTCTTCTCTCATAAAAATGTTATAATTATTATTATATATATATATATATATATATATACTGTACTTTACTGTATACTATAATGTATTTACTTACTATATCACAAAACAAAATTATTAAAAAAACTAAAAACAATCAAGTTACTTAAATTAGTTGTATCGTATAATAATATATAGACGATGATTCGCTCTTCTAAGAATTTTAGGCTTTAGTGAAATAATTTATCAAAGCGACATCTATAAACGTACCGATAGGTATATAATTTTATGAGTACTAAAAAAAATAAAGATATATAAAGAAACACAAACTTTTTTCGTTTAACTTAGAGTTGAAGATAACCTAATTTTTAAAATGATTAGAAAAAACTTCATATTTTATTGAATTGTATGTTTACTCCATTAAAATGTACAGTTTTGTTCTTTCGCATTACAAATATTCGTGTGTGACATAATTGTGTGGTATAAATTAACAAAGTAGGTATTGTCATTTAATAATTTACCTTGGGGCAAAAACTTGTGCGAACCTATCACATGTTGTATTCATTTAGTCCGTTTTTTAAAAGCGGAAAATGGGACCTACTCCGTTCCAAAATGTTACTAAATCTCCGTCTAAATGCTGAAATATATTTATACGGTATCGACAAATTATTATTTTTATATTTGCAATATGTAATATTTATTTATTTTTTTAAATGTTAACACATTTTTTTTTTTTTTTTAAACGTTGCACATTTATGTTTTTATCGTGGGCTATTTGGTATTTACTTTATGTATTTTACGTATTTTTTGACTAACGATGTTTTCATACTGAAAATTCACCATACTTATATAATTAATAAAAGTTATAAAATGGATTAAGTGTGGCTTGGCGTGGTGCATTGGCTGCTATCAGTCGCGGAATGCGACTGAGAGTAAGTAACGACCACAGCTACTAGCTCCCGGATGGGTGACCACTCGGGATCATAGTGGTTAAAAACCTTGCCACACATACACGTGTTTGTTATCAACTGTAACAATCGTAAAATAAAACCTACCGTACCAACCTTACCCCTTACCATAGTTCATAACCCTTACAAACAGCTAATGGCCCTAGTTGCCGGGCTTAAGTTCAATTAAAAAAAAAAAAAAAAATGGATTAAGAACAACAGACAGAAGAACATTTTAATTTAACATACTTACCAGAAATATTTTGAAATATATTTTATACTATGTGTGTTAATTGTACTTATGTTCTAACTTGGCTATGATTTTAATTAAATATGTAACCCTCTACCTTAGTGGTGTTTGTTGGATATGTTTTATTTTCAAGTATGATGTATAATTATTGCACAGTACACAAAAAAAAACAACTTAAAAAAATATATCTTAACTTTCTTGAAAAATTGAGTTTCATATATTACAAATTAAATGAGAACAAATTTAATATTCAAGTGAATTTTTCGGTCAGTCAATTTCGGTCGGTTTCCTTGGTTCTACAATTTTACAGACAAATTCGATAATAATTCAAAATCCAGGTACCTATTTTAGCTATTTCATGTATGAAAAGAAAGAAATAATTGAAATGTAAAACATATAATGTAAGGGTAAATTAATTGTATTACCTACTTATTTGTCTACGGGGGCTCTTCAATCAAGACTCGGCATTTAAATTTTATAAACTTTGTTATTGGTTATTGGTGATGTTATTGTGTGCGAATAGCATACAAGACGTAGATATAATGTGAATCATCAAATGTTAAATTGAATGCGTTATTATTATTATTATTATTATTATTTTTTTTTTTTTTTTTGTAGGAATAAATGTTCATTGAATGCATCATCGGAGGGGTTACTGTTTCCAAGGCACTTGACCAAAGACATGCATTTTCCAATTTATCGAAAAGCCTTCTGCAGAACGTTGCCGCTGACTTATAGTTCTACCACCAATATGCCCATTGGGTATCCCACTGTTTATTTATACAAATTTTTGCCTGATGTTTTTAATTCTTCTATAGATGATAATAAATGTTATTGTCCGAAAGATGGGTGTTTGCCGCCCGGACTGTCAGACATATCGCCGTGCTACTATAGTAAGTCAAAAATATTGTATTGATGCTATTTAATCATTTTTATTTATTATATCGAACCATAATGCAGTATGGTATAATACACATTAATTTTTTATTTTAGTTGAATTTTAAATATGTAATTTATACATTATCTGAATAATAATGATAATATTTATTAGAAAACTTTATTTTGATATTTTAAATCATTAGTTAACAGAAGCGTACGCGTACACAAAAACATAATATAATTATTTTTTTGTTTTGTTTTTATTGCGCACAGAGGGAGGATGGTAATAGTTGTACATTTTCATTCTTATATATCTAGAAGTGTATTGACAGAAATCACTCTGTTAAAAAATATTTAATAATTATCATCAAGTACCAAAAGAGGAGTTGGCAAGAAGTATATCGTAGTGCTATTTTTGATAGTATAATAACATATTTTATTACTTATAATATCCATTAAAGCTTTTTGTTTGTATTAAAAATTTATAAAGAACAAAAAAAAAGCTTTATAAAAACATAATAGGTCATATATTATGATATATACTATTTAAGGCAATACGTGTTTAATTCATTTTCTTGTTAGCTTGTCATTTAGGTTATAATTTACTAATGATTCAATGTTAAACTTCTCAATATAGGAGAGGGGAAATTATATTAAAATTGTAACGTTTAAACTTTATAATTGTTTCCGCCGTAGCCAAATCAATGCATTATTACAGAGTTCCACATTATTACGAACTTGATGTTTTATTTTATTTTTATATTTTACTCACAGATTTAATTCTGCCACTTATTTTACAGATATACCGGTAGCAGTGTCGTTTCCACATTTTTACGGTGGCGACCCGGCGTTAGTGGACAATGTCAATGGAATTGCTCCCAACATGGAAAAACATCAATCCGTAGTTGCTGTACAACCGGTAATGAACGATTTTAATACGATGTCATTTATTACTCCATTTAAGAACGTCCGTTTAAAGTAGAACCTTAGAGAAAAGTTTCCATGGCTATAGTGTATTATGAAATCGTAAGTGAAGGATTTATAGATGGTTTAAATACAGGTCTGGAGGCATATCTGTCGCATCATATGGTAGATACTTGTAAATAAGGGTGAATCAGTTCCACTTGAAGGGGGCTGATAAACTTAGACAAAGGTTTCCAAGTGATGAAACAATTACACAGTGCAGTAATTGTATCAAATCGTTGAGTAACTTTAGAATACCTCCCTATGGATAACTCAATGATAACTATTATTGTCATTGAATTTTATGTAGAACATTGAAGAATATATTTAAATACAATTCTGCATTAGTTTTGTAATAATATATTGTAAAACACTAAATTAATTATCCGTATGCAATAAATTAGTCATTCACGTTAAAAATATTATAATAATTGCTAAAATCAAGTTGATACTTTTATTTTCAAAACCTTAACAACAATAATTGTTACTGATTTTTGAATAAATGACCATATAATATAATTTTAGGCTCAAAACAAAATGAACCTTTTAATTTCTATGAGATTTTATTGTAAAATATAAGCAAAAATTAAAAATTTCAAATAACGCGTAATGGTTATTTTTGTTTAAAAAAAAAAAACACGAGTAAATCAGTTCTCTGGAAATTTTTCATATACTAACGTAACCAACGTCAAAATAATAATCACTAACCTTGCTAGTTCATTAATAGTTTGCATCCAACTATATTTTTATTCGGGTTACTTTCATGACTTAGTTGACTTATAAACTAGCATAGATTTAAATATATACATACATATTTAAATTATTGACATTTATATTATATTGGTTTAAGGTCAACCGAAACTATTTCATTATTCTGATAACTTCACAAGACACTTCTCAGTCGAAATACAATAACAAATTTGCTTTTTTATTGGTGCAATTAACAATCAATTGTCGTTATTAGGTATTTGTTTTTATAACCTCGCTATAAAAATCGACATAACCGGTTTGAATCACCAATACGCTGAAGCTCTGCGGGTACAATTTTATTAAATTATAAACAATTGCAGACTCCATTCTTTGTAAAGCAAAACACATCACGCGTGTGTTATTGTTTAAAAAAATTTTCGTTTTTTTTATTTTTATTTCAACAATTCATAATTTTTTATTTTTATTTTTCGAATTAAAAAGTTTACGTCATTAAAACCGGTAGTAAAAAAAAAAATACTCGATCGTCAGACGCAATTTCTATTTGTAGCCCGGAAAACAAAAATATATATATATATATATATATATATATATTAAAATAATTATCCGTAAAAGGTCAAATAATAATAATAGAAAAAAACAGCCACTAGTTAAACAAAAGGTTCTCAACCCAACCAATATTCTATGGAAACAATGGACGATTCTTATTAACCACGCTAAATTGTGTTTAAATGCTTAGATATCTATATTATTATACAGTTAACGGTGTTTTTATTTTTTCAGGATCTCGGTATACCGCTGGCCGTGGACATTAAAATCCAGTTAAACCTAATCATAAAGACCACTAGATATGTGAGCCGTGCGAAGAAGTTCAATGGATTGACTTTACCGATATGTTGGTTGCATTTGGTAAGATTTATCACGAATTACGATAATGTTTTGGGGTTAAGAGGGTAGGCAACTAGTATTTAAGTAGACTATAATAATTAATAACATAATCAGTTACCTACTTAATATTGATTGATTGCGTTAATCGGTAGAGAAACACTGCATCCGCTTGGATAATTCATTATGGTATCAACTGAAGGTTCTGATGAAATTTTAGTTTATTTTATTCTCTCGTAAATCAAAGTATTGTGCAAAGGTAATCCGTGAAAAAAATAAATGGAACAAAATAATACAAAAACCAGGTTACGCCGTGGTAATTTCTTTCCCTTTTTACAACAATAAAATCCTGCGTGAGTGACACCCGTCTCGTTTGCATACAGTTATTTTTATTTATTTTTTTTAGTAGGCACTGTGTTTTAATACTCAAATACCCTTACCTACCAACAAATCTATAAAATTACCATAATAATAAAAAAAAAATCACAGAACTCTCACTGATGTACATAAGGTTTTAATTTTTGAATGTACCTCCTCATTTAGTAGATCTTTATAATGGATATTATGATACATTAAAACTCAATATGATTAATAATTATAATAAAAACGATTCTAAATAGTAAACTATTATTAATAGTTTATTTTTTTAATATAAATATTATATGATCCCATAACAGCTTGATCTAGTTAATAGTTTTTACTTAAAACATTGCATAAACATATTAGGTATTTTTCTATTATAATATATATTTTTTAACTAATATAAAATATTATTATTTTTAAATTATAATTTTTTATGTCAATAGCAACGAACTGTAAAATAGTGTAATAGGTTTTATTATATTATTAATATTTAAATTGAATTAAACAATTGAAAATGATTATTATATTATTAATATATTTTGTAAATAATTGTTTAAAAATACAATTTCGTGAGAATTTGAACTTAAAATGGGTACAATAAACAGTGATTACGATTTGTTTTCGATATTAAAAAAAAAAAATTGTAAAGATAACTTTTTAGGATTCGAGTATTACGCTTAAGAACTGTTTGATCGATAAAACTGGTAGTTAAAAATTTAAAAAATAAATGTCTGTAAATAGCAAAAAAAATCAAAAATGTTTTGAATATCATGCTTATAAAATATTTATATACATTTTTAGTGAAAATTTCAAGTATATATGGTTGGTAGTTCTTTTTGAACCATAACAACCAAACAAAATTTATTTTGTCAAAAACTTAGCGCTGTTTTTCTGTTACTTTTTATTAGTATATTTTTCCATTTTAAAGCACGAATACCTACATTTTATATCAAAAAAAAATCTCAAAATTTAAAGATTGAAGCACATTTTCTAGTCCAAAACGTAGTAGTAGTCACGGAAATATATAAAGATATAAAAAAATATTGTTGTTAAACCAATAATTTAACTGATTAGCTTAGAATCTAAAGCTTAATTACAAACAAAATATGGATTTAATTATTTCATGTAATTTTGTAATCGATAAATAAATTATCAAAATACTTAATTTCTATTCTACTCAATTCAAAACATATATAGTGTTAGAATTATATACAGACATATAGTCTAATAAAATTAAAAAAAAAAAAAAAACTTTACTTACACTATAACCAAATAGACTATTATTTGAATTTAATATAATCAAAATACAAGTTATTTCATTTTAGTAAGAAAACATTTATATAACGAGGGGTAGTCGTCATTCAATTTTAACAATGGTACAAAAGTTAAGAGATAAAAAAAAACATCACGGATAAACCGTTTCATCTTGACAGTACATTATATTTTTTCATTGTTTCTAGCGACCATTTTTTTTTTATGTTATTTAATAAATTTTGATTATGTATGCATAGTTAAGTGTTTATACTGAAACGTTAAAAACTAAATTTGGATTGTGACAACAAAAACACGACTTTCGTCGTTTCGCACTTTTTTCTTTATCCGAGAAGTGATTATTATGGGTTCGTGTACCTTGTTTATACTATTTTATATCACTTATAGTTTTTATTATTTACGAATAGGGTATGTGTTGTGAAATCGATAATACATATAATAATTATTGCCAAAACGCCTTGACTGAAGCACGTGCAATTAACATCTTTGATATAGTCAGTATACAAACTTTTGGCGTAAGTACATGCCGGTATATAATAAAAACACGCACGTAATTATAAAGCGCCATTTATATCTATAAACATACGATTATTCGCACTTAATAGAGTTATTAATTTTTGAGTGATTCGTTTCAGATGAAATTGATTATTATCAGCTCATTTGCATAGCCCGGGCGTTACAATTAAGTAATATTACTTGTGTACCTATATACTGGTTTTATTTTATTTTCGACGTTCATCAATGGTTGACATGTATGCATAAATTAAAATGGTCCAAGGCTCATTTTTCTTAGCAACGAAAACGCTTGGGGCGTAATGTCCATAATTTGTCTGGTAAATGATACGTCGATTAGTGCGAATAACAATTTATTTAATTTAAAACAATATACTACATCAATAAGCCATTTATAATAATTTCAATAACAATTCGCCATTCGCCGGGGCGACGGCGGTAATAGCAAAATTGTAGGTGGCGCAATCACAATGTATTTTAAATGAAGGTACATCATTGTTAGCGAAAACAAATCGTATCGTTTGCGTGGCGCGGAAATTCGCATTAAACGGTGCACGTAGTAAAAACCAGAGTATATACAATGAAGATTTACGAAGTTTCATTGAAACGAAAGAGACATAGAGTGGACGACGCATATAATAATGTTTTCGTATATTTTATGAATTTCAATACGTAAATGGTCTGTAAAAATAATAAACATATTATATCGTGTTTTAATACTGAATCGTAGGTACATGATACCATTATACTATACTCGCTATAACTGCAATAATTTGTTATAACTTATAACGCTTATAGACTATAACATAATATTTACAGTTGAAAATTGCTTCCAGCTAACAGCTAACCCCTAAGTACAATATAAAAATAAATATGAAGTAATATAGTTCATGTTTTCATTATAGGAACAAAAAACAGCCTTAACATTTTTCCAATAAAATAAATTTCAAAAGAAAAACATACACTTATTAGGTGATCTTTTAAAAAACCTAATAAATATCATATCCATCCCCTCGACAAGAAGATTGCTGTTAAAGCATTTGTTATAGTTAAAAATTATTGATTATCAATCGAAATTTGTTCAATAAAGATTGATTTATTGAATGGATTTCGGGTTTATTATAAATATTGAAAAAACCAATAAAAACCCATTCGTAAATTTCTCAACAGAACCTTTTTTTTCATAAATAAAAAACATTACAGAGTTCGTGGTTATTGATTGTCATACATATAAAATGTTTTTAAATATTATACCTATGTATTTATCAGTTTTTAGTAATTATTTTAGTAGGTACTAATAAGTAAGGATTTTTATAGAAATATTCAAGGCTGAGCATTAAATAGTTATTAAATTAAAAGTTAAGATAATCCTAACTTATTGGTTTAAAATATTTATTAATTTAAATTAACTTAATTGTTTCTATGTTAATTTAAAATATATATTTAAGTCTTAATATTTACATATTAAATTATCAAATATTTTAACAGAAAAAAATAGTAAGCAATAAAATATTTTGTTGTCTATTAAACCTCTTAATTTAGTTAGAAAATATCATTAACTTACCTAGCCTTGGAAATATGAAATATTTATTAACTACTTCTATTGATGTATGGCAGATCTAGAGAAAAAAATCTTAGGTAAATCTTAAAATATATAATGAAGGGAGACTTTTATTTTATCATAACCCTCAAAAATACAATTTATTGTAAATACAACCCACGGGCCACAGCGTTTTGCAATACATAAAATAACATGTAAATGTGTGGTTTTAATTGTATGTTGATCGAGTCGATGGTCTTATATTGTAACGTTTAATAAAACATTTTCTTAATATTGAAAGAAGAAAAAAATAATAACATTGAATATCGAGTTTAATGAATCTTCGATAAATGATGATGTTACTATTATGTGATTCAAAGATTTATCGATCATTCCTTCTATGGCATTCAACTTAATTCAAATTGTTCTTTGCGTGACCTTCGGCATAAGATAGATGGACATAAGACGAACAGGTAGTCTTTGGGTGAGAGAAAGATGGGCTATAACATTACCCATCAGATTGATATGAAATTTGGAAATAGAAAAAAAAATCAAAATTTGTAAAGAGGTCAGCGAGTTGTGGAACGCCGCGCACTCTAATTCAGCAAGTATATTAATAATTTAATACTTATTTATTTGAAAGTTAGTAGGAGATAATCTTGATTTAATAATAAATCATGCAATACACAAACATACGTTTTTAAAGTGTATATTAATTGTGATGAAAAAAAAAAATAATAAAACACATATACACGACACATACTTCCACGCACTTCCGTATCATATTTCTATCAACTATTGTTTATTTTATGAAAACTTTATTCCAAAAATTTCTATATATAGTATTAATTTAACAGTAAATACACATCATTACAGTTTGTTTAAAATTATATTTATTATTTGAAAATATGCGATATTTTTTTACAAAATTTTATCGTTATTAATAACTAAGTTTTTATTTTTTTGTCATTAGCAATAATTCAAATACAATAAATTTTTTTAAGAATTTCAGTTGATAAACTCAAGTTTTGAATGAATATTTGAGAAGTACTTTTATTTTTTATTAGCGAGGTATAACTAATAAATTATTCATTTGAAATTTGATTAGTATGTATCAGAATTCCGAAACAAATATTGCCTATGAAATATAATTTTGAAAAAATGCAAATATTTAAAAAAAAGTCGTAAAAATAAAAATCTAGTTGCTTTAAATTATGCAAAAAAAAAATTCTTCAAAAAATATTTATATTCTATTTTTACATAATCACAGTTCGAATTATATATATATTTTTTTTATATAATGGTTATGTTATTTGCTACTAGGTGGGAAGGATTT